TGCAGGAAATTTGCTGCCAGTGACAGCTATAGCAATCAAGAAAATCTAGGAACCCATAATAGGTGATGACCAGTAGCAGTAATCAATGTGCAAAACATTTTTTTTTACAAAACTGCTATTTTTGGAATGCATTTCCCTATTTTTTCTTTCTTAAGGCTTTGTTCGCATATCTAAAAAATGTGGGTTAGAAAGACCTGTGGTTCTCAAAGGGTGGTTATAAGATGTCCTAGGAGGACAATTTTATATAAAGTGTTCCAAGGCTGCTACATACAGACCTTTGAATGTGTTTCCTCCAAAGCACATAGGATCATAGCTCTATATGTAACTGCGGAGATCTGAACTACTATATCATTGCCCACAAGACTGATTTTTGTTGATGCAAGTTCTGGGGCTTTCCTGCTTATTCTTTATTCAGTGTTTATTCAGTCACTGATCCAGAATAAGAATAAGTATATTTGAAGACATGACACCTGATATGCACATGTTTGTTTCAGGTCAGTGATTTACTAAATTGTGAAGGAAAGAGAAGGATAACAGCTCCTCATCCTCAAATCAGAAATGGCCATGTTTCTATATTGACAGGTTTCTTTTAACAAGGGCCACTTTTAAAAAATGTAAATATTAAAAGGATTTAAATAATCTGTTTTTACTAGAGAACAGATGTGTTTCATAGCACCTCATTTCTTTGATCTCTAACTTCATTTTTTCTGAGTGACAGATCCTTCTTCCTACACAACAGAATATTGGGTGCAAATGTTAGCGACTGACAAAGTGACATCATTATAAATTGTCTATAAAAAGTAAAAGAATAAAAGTCACTCTATAACTTTTATCTACACACAGAAAAAAGTGGAGGAGGTCTTTACAGACATTGTAGGAGTTGTGTACTCCAGGAATATACAATCTGAACAGTGTTAGTCAATATGCATTGTTTTCTTGGACATATACTGGTAATGAGAACCTGTGCAATGACTGTTGGCTACACCTTTTGGAGGTACACTAGCTTCAATCACAATGCACTTCCCTTGTCAAGCTAACTTCTGGCATACTCTTGCTCCTTGCTCTTCCAGCACCTGCCAGCTCACATTCAGTATCTGATCCATGTGTGTCCTCTAGTTTGAAAGGGGTTGACACGCAGACGAGGAGGTTTAAAACTGAATGTTGCCAGGCTCTTAGCTCTCCTACGCTTCTCCCAGGGCACATCTTGCTTCTTCCTGCGCTGCTCCTCTTCTTGGGCCACAAAATCTTGCAGCACTGATCGGAAGAGACGTGGGATTTCTGCTCCTTCAGGCTCAAACTCCAACATCAGTCTACGAAACCTGCACATTAAGCCAAAACCCAAAAGTCAATGGACACCAAGTAATTTTAACTAAATTCTTTGGCATTAAAAGTTATTCATGCTAAAAAATGGTAAAAGCCTTCTAAAAACTGACTTGACCAGTCTGTGACGTCATACTATGACATGTTTGCACAGGTATATTCTACAGAATATCTGAGCCAATGGCCTAGCATGTTAGCATGTGAGCCTACAGCAGTCAAGGTTTAAGTGGGATCTTGTAAAGCAGCATTGTATGGCTTCCGACCTGAAAATATACCGTAGTTGCTTACCCTGTGAGTCAAAACCTCCATTGTCATCTCTGTGAGAAGATGGTGCTAACCTTTGGAAGACGCTTCTAATGACCAGCATTATTACAAAGAATGCATACAAGATTCTTTGCTCACTACAGTCATGTGAACAAGAAATGTCCAGTGAATGTGTGTTCATTGCTAATTCTAAAACCATGCTATATCCATGGTATAGTTTTTCATTAGAGACCAGGTCAAAAATTGTACTACATTATTAACATACATTATTAATCTGTTATCCTTCTCCTCCATCACATTGATAGTTACAGATTCCAGTGAAACAGAGGCATACTAAAGAGTATAATTTGTACATAAAACTCAATTTATTTGAATGATCCCCTCCTAATGGTTTTCTCTTTTAGCAGCCATATGTATTTAGTATAGGCTTTGTTTAATATTATTGTGCAGGTAACCAGAATGTGGGTTTTAAAGCAGAACTCCAGCCACGGACACCTAAAGTTGTGTTAAAAATAATAGCAGCTTGTTGAAAAAAGTGAATAAAGCTCAAAATCCTTCTAATAGCTTTTATTTCCATACACACAAATGCATTGAGAACACTACACATTCTATTCCAAATCAAAACATGAAGAAAAATATATCAAATTTGTGTTGTTCCTCTAAAAAAAATTTAAGAAAAGTGAATATTAGACTGTTCAAAAAAATAGCAGTGTTTGTATTCTTCTTTAACAAACTCAAACATTCACTATATAAACTGAAAAATGTTTGAAGATTTTGCTTTCCTTTGAATCACTTAATGAATATTTAGTTGTATAAGCACTGTTTCTGAGAACTGCTGCACATCTGTGTTGCATGGCGTCAACCAACTTGTGGCACCTGTGAACAGGTATTCCAGCCCAGGATGATTGGACTACATTCCACAGTTCTTCTCTATTTCTTGGTTTTGCCTCAGAAACTGCATTTTTGATGTCACCCCCCACAAGTTTTCTATTGGATTAAGATCCGGGGATTGGGCTGGCCACTCCATAATGTCAATCTTGTTGGTCTGGAACCAAGATGTTGCACATTTACTGGTGTGTTTGGGGTCATTGTCTTGTTGGAACACCCATTTCAAGGGCATTGCCTCTTCAGCATAAGGCAGCATGACCTCTTCAAGTATTCTGATGTATTCAAACTGATCCATGATCCCTGGTATGCGATAAATAGGCCCAACACCGTAGTATGAGAAACATCCCCATATCATGATGCTTGTGCAACCATACTTCACTGTCTTCACAGTGTACTGTGGCTTGAATTCAGTGTTTGGGGGTCTTCTGACAAATTGTCTCCGGCCACTAGACCCAAAAAGAACAATCTTACTATCATCAGTCTACAAAATGTTGCATCATTTCTCTTTAGGCCAGTCAATGTGCTCTTTGGCAAATTGTAACCTCTTCAGCGCGTCTTTTTTTCAACAGTGGGACTTTGCGGGGGCTTCTTGCAGATAGCTTGGCTTCACATAGGCGTCTTCTAACTGTAACAGTACTCACAGGTAACTTTAGACCTTCTTTGATCTTCCCGGAGCTGATTGTTGGCTGAGTCCTTGCCATTTTGGCTATTCTATCCATTCGAATGGTAGTTTTTAGCTTTCTTCCACGTCTTTCATGTTTTGGTTGCCATTTTAAAGCATTTGTGATCATTTTAGCTGAGCAGCCTACCATTTTCTGCACTTCTTTATATGTTTTCCCCTCTCCAATCAACTTTTTAATCAAGGTACGCTGTTTTTCTGAACAATGTCTGGAACGACCCATTTTCCACAGAATTTCAGAGAGAAATGCACTGTAACCAGAATGTACAACATTTGCTGTCTTCCTTCCTTAAATAAGGGCAATAATTGCCACCTGTTTTTCAAAAATGAATGACCTTACTAATAGAACTCCACACTGCTATTATTTTGAACATGCCCCTTTCAATCAGTGATTAAATTACACAGAATCAGCAGCATGCATGTCATGACTGTTGGGTCTGTTGGATTTCTATTACTCTACTACATCTGCTAGTAAATTATTTGCCATGAAGAAATATCATTTCTACCAAAAACCGTGATTGATCAGGTTAGTGATGTCTGACTGCTATTATTTTGAGCACAACTGTATATACATTCTTAAAGTAAAGAAAGCAGTTCAGACTGTTTTCGTTGCCATATTATTAATTTATTAGTATATGCTGGACTATACAGAAAGTGCTGTACTTCTGTTCAGAGAGCACAAGGCATTCTGTGAATGGACAAGAGGAGAGGAGGGGCAGGCAAATGACAGGATCGCTTCATTGTATGAGAGCCGTAGCTGCAGAGCCTGAAGTACAGTGCTGGCTGTAGTATCCAGCATATATTGTGCTAGTAAATTAATTCTATTGCAACAAAACCGATCTGAACATTTTCCACAATGACAAGAAATAATTTATTTTACATAGATGTTTGTGGTCAGTAAAAGGGTTAATAGTTAAGTAACCTTTGCTTTATGCTTACTAAATCAACTTTTATCCCCATAACAGAATGTTCTCTGAGGACTGGAATGCTATCTACAAGTGTGTCCTCGGCCATGAAGTTTTGCAGAACTTATTATTTTGTTTGCCATATTTCTATTACGCACCATATGGGGAATTATTGCAAAATCTATAATGTATTTTGATTGGTGCTTTATGGACAACACCTGAAATTTTCGGTGTTATCTCGGTATTTAAACTCAAACAATAATAAAGACGTTGAATTCTGTGCTTCACACATCAGTGTCTGCATTGCATTATTCCCAAACAGGGGCGGACTGACAACTCATGGGGCCCCCGGGCAATAGGTGATCATGGGGCCCCTGTGTCCTTGCCCAAACTCAAAAAAGCCTATGAAAAAGTTACCAGGGGCATCTCATGGGGCCCCATATTGACCCCGGGCCCTCGGGCAGTGCCCAAGTTTCCAAATGGTCAGTCCGCCCCTGTTCCCAAAGTACTTTGTACCTGTCGTGATTGGATGGAGGGAGCCATCACGAAATTAAGTTATCTTAAAAGATGGAATGCCACTTTTAGCAACTGGGGTGTTAATATGTTTTCTAAAAGCCAGAATCTCTTTCAGGTTTGTACTACAGTCTGCATCTTTTACTGGTGAAATTCCCATTCTCTATTTGTCCTGGTGGCATGGTCATTCGGATAGAATGTGATGGGAAATCCAACATTTTAAGTTTGTACCTGAACAAGAGTTTAGGGGAAATCTTCTAATATTATCAGTGACAACTGTCTAAGACTATTTTTCCTTTTCCCTTCCTTTTGTGTCTCCAGGGAAAAAAAAAATGGCAACAGTTTTTAACCCTTAAGTAGGGTATACACAATGAGTTTTCTTTTACTTCAACCAGCGAGTTGAAAAAGAAAAAATATCACAGATCCAGGGGCGGACTGACAACCCATGGGGCTCCCGGGCAATAGGGGATCATGGGGGCCCTGTGTCCTTGCCCAAACTCAAAAAAGCCTATGAAAAAGGTACCAGGGGCATCTCATGGTGCCTCCTACTGACCCCGGGCCCTCAGGCAGTGCCCGAGTTTCCAAATGGTCAGTCCGCCCCTGCACAGATCCCCACATCAACACAAGCAATGTTAATGCAGGGATCTCTCCTGCTATGTCTTTGTATCCTGACAAGGGGGACTCCCCCCAGAATACACAAATCAGATAATGGTCAAATGCTGGTCTTCAGTGCCTGTTTGTTGAACAGTCAGGGGTACATGTGTCAATTTTCGATATGTGTATACTCAGTGTTAGTTTTTTAAAAAAAAAAAAGAAAAATAAATCCCCGTACACATGATGAGAATATTGGACGAATGATTGTCCATTTTTTGTTTTTTTTTGCATGCTAGTCTCCATATTGAAAATGAAGACTGTACAAATTCTTGTACGACAGAATAAAAATTCTGAAGTAATGTATTGTTTTGTATTGTATTTTCAGACGAAAACTGTACTGGTTAAACAAAAATTGTACAATCTGGTATCGTATGAGAACATTTTGGTGATTGTCCCTCCAAATAATTTCGGATGAAAGCCGTGTACTACCGATCAGATTATCATATGATCGTTTCGTAAACGGTATTTTTTGGATGATTTTTTTTTTATCATGTGTACTAGGCTTTAGGCAGCCCATTACATTGTCCGATTCTCCCATCCACACAAAGATCAGTGTTGCCTGCTGTAGCCAGCAGCCTGCTTGCTCAGGAAAAACTCAACAGGCTGGTTCATAGATCGACTTGTGTACAACCAGTCTGCCCATATATGGACCGAAATTCAGCTGGTCCCTGCTGAACCAGCCATATTGCAGTTCATGTATGGTCAGCTTAACACTGACCATTGTATTCTGACAGCAGGGAAGTCTACCTACTGTCAGAATACAATACCACATTCCCCTATTTATTGAGTGCGTGGATGGAGGAATGGGATCATTGTTTTCCTTTCAGCCAGTGGGTTGAATGAAAAACAATGATCAATGTATGGACTGTCTTACTATATAATTATTCCCTATTGCTCTGCCATATTTCATGACCAAGCCGTTTATCCTACCGTGACACCACTCACTTACATTTGCTTCAAACATTAATTGGTTCCTTCAATTTCTACAAAATGTCATAGACTCAGTTCATTAAGATAATTTTTTTTAAACCTTGTTTATTATGGTTTTCTCCTAGCAATATCTGATTCACAAAAATTTGAATTGCCTTTTCTATACTCAACAGGTACATTTTTTTTTTTTATTAAAATGCAGATTGAACTCAACTATGTTGTAATGGTTTTACTGAATTTAAAAAAATCTATTTTTATTGTGCAAACACCGACACATGACAATGGAAATACTGCATGTATTATACTTTTGTGAGTAGAAATTTGAGGATATATACTTTGCTACACAACAGTTGCCATCTGCTCTTGTCAGTAATGAAATGTATAGATGGGGACAGGATTCCTGAAGACCAGCAAACATTTCGCATCACTCCATAAAACATTACTGAAAAAGCGTATTTAAGGTTTGTCACTGTACCTGAGAATGGCAGGACCACACTGCGAGGGGCTTATTTTGGAGCATATATCTCTAAGCTCCAGCTGGTCACCTGGGGTGACCTCGTAGCCTTGGCGTGGTATGGAAGCAAGCCATGTGTAGTCCACGCCGCTCTTCACTCGACGGTACTCAATAAAGCGCTCCCGTTGCTGCTTTTCAGCACGTTTGAGATGGGATCCCAGTTCTAACATCAAAGTCTCTGTAACCAGCTCTGCACTACTCCTGGGTGCCAGTTTCAGTGCAGAGTTTTCCGAGTCATTCCAACCAAAGAGTCCTGCCAGGAACATCCTCTGGACCTAGTAAAGACAATATCACCCTTAGGTTACAGGTCATTTCCATAAATAGCACTTTTAAAATATTGAAATCAACAAGCATTTCTTTTTCAGAATAATTTTGCAGTAGTTGCTGTTATTCACATGTATTTCTCTCCTTGTCAAAGCAGAAAGGCCAGTTTAGGTTTGGCTGTAGGACCCCAGTAAAGCAGACATGTTCCCCTGCTCAAAGCTGATAATAAATACTTTGTCTAGGCCATGGAAGGAAGATAAAACGGTATGTTAACAGAGTCTTTTGCTTTTCTTAGTGTGATCCAGACAGATTGCTTGTTGTTTATTTGCTATTGAGTACATGTTATCAGCACGTGATCTGATGGCTATGTGGGCTTATATTTCTGTTCTGACACTGAGAAAATACAAGTAAATAAAAAAAAATAAAAAAAATCACATAATCCCTGGAGGTGCATTATCCTAACCAATGAAGAGTGGAGATTTGTATTATTGCAGATGCCAACAGGTACCTAGGTCTCCTTAACCCTTCTCCCATAAATTACAAAATTACTTATTACAAGTGTCTGACCATTTGCCATATTCCAACGTTTTGTCATAACATTTGTGACAGACCCATGCAGAATACACAAAGTGTTGAAGAGAAATAGTTCTAAAAGCCATTGATAAGTATATTGATATTGTAAATAATAATAGTAGGTATGGATAATTGCATCATTATAATACACTTTACATAACAAATAAATAAAAAACATTATTCACAATACTGATGACATCCAGTTTCTTTGAAATTTCCCAGTAAATTTTTGTATCAAAAGCAGTGGATGCTCAATTACCTGGGCTCTTCTCAAAGTATCCCCGGAAGTATACCCAGTCCTGGTATTTCTTCTGCTCAGGGCCAATGGTATCAGCCACAGATATTATCTTTTCTTATTCCTTGCCTCCTTATTTGAACCTTTTCCTATGTCTCAGTTTTCAGAGGCTCTTTGTTTTCAATACACTCTCTTCTGTCTTCCTTCTCATCTGTCTCCACACTCATCACATTGTCATTAGGCAAGCTCTACTTTTTAAAGCCTCGTCTAATGCTCTGTAATCTGCAGATTCGGTCCACTCAGCATTCTCTTCATTGGGATACAATGCACTAGTTATATAACAATAGCTCATACATACGTGCTGTAAAAGCTCAACTCAGGTATGGGACGGGTAAACATTTTGTTTTTAGCATGTTAGCTTTTTTTAGATTTCTGTTGTTGTTCAGATTTTATCTTCAGATGAAAAGTTTATTGAATTTAAGGATTTGTAAGACGTTAATAGAAAGGCAGGGCAGGAGCTGCCTGTAGGTCCAGGGATGAAGAAGAGAGGAGGGAGAGCATGGGCTCGTCAAAGACCAAGGAAAAAGCAGAAAGGGAAATATTAGTGGAGGGGTGAAGAGAAGAGAGGGGGCAGATTAGGAGACCGATTGCACTGTTCAACAGGTAAAAAGTTTTGGGCATAAAATTAGCTAATCTTACATAATTTTGTTGTGCTGAAAACGAAAATGACCCTAAAAAATGTTGATTGGCTCTAGTTTCCATGATATATTCACCCATCTAATGATGTAAGCCATTCAAAATTATGATGCAACTTCAGCTGCATATTGCGCAATTGATACTGGTGACCAATAGAAAATTGCATGTATACTGAGATGATGCAATATTAGCCTTTAATTGCATCACTTCACTGCATAAAAGCTGCAGTATCTGTAGCTGATTGTAGTTTGACAGCGTCTTTACATTTCGTTTTATGCTTATATAGGCTACTCAGTAATGCCTCGAACTTGTGTGAATAAAGCAGATAATTTCTGCTATATCTGCGGTGAAATAACTTTTATCTCACAAAAAAGGAGGATAACAGGAATGATTAAGAAAGCCTACAACTTGTATTTTGGCTGAAAGATAGGAGACCAGGACAAGAGCTGGGCACCACATATATGCTGCAATTCTTGTGGGACGGCACTGGAGCAATGGTTGAATGGAAAAAAGGCATCTATGCCTTTCGCTGTGCCAATGATTTGGAGAGAGCCAACAGATCATGTTAGTAATTGTTACTTTTGTATGGTGCCTCCAATTGTAAAAGGGCTAAATAAGAAGAAAAAGTTATCTGTGCACTATCCAAATATTCCATCGGCAATACGTCCAGTTCCTCATGGAGAGGGGCTACCAATTCCTAAAGCACCAGAATCCTTTGTGGTTGAGTCAAGTGAGGAAGAACCTGAAGCGTGTAGTCACGTGCAGTTGTAAGAGATAGCCCTTTCCTCGAATACAAGAGAAAAGCCAAGAGAAGCAAAACCGACACAAACTGAAGACAAAACTAGTGAGAATCCTAAGTATTAAAATGATTCAATTTAGCTTATGGCTATAATTTTTCTTGGTAATCCTATGCAATATATTATGCCATTTAGGCTTTGTTATGTAGTCAATATCACTTGCTTATATATTTGTGGAAAGACATCTATCTATATAATTATTGTGCATTATGTAGTCATTACGCCTATAGTAGAAAACTTTCCGTTTACAGAAAAACTAGAGCCAATTGACAAATTTCATTGTTATATTTGAACTCAGAATGTGAAATTCATTAAGAAATGGATCCTTTTGTTTCCAAAACTGGCAAAAAATAAAAATTTGTTGAACAGTGTTGTAGACCAGTTATGGAGGAAACAGGAGTAGGACTTGATCATGGCCCGGAAAAGTTGGGGCCACGTACAACAGGGATTCATTGACATATATGAAATATCAGACAAGACAGCATTGTAGAAAATATGGAGCACCAAAATGCTGGAGGCACTGAAACAGAAAAGTGAGGGCAAGGCAGCAGCCAGAGGTAGACATCTGCATGCCAGAAATTTTCGTTTCATTTTGGATGCATTTGTCAATTCAAGAATTTTGTTTCTTCATATTTGTAATGTTGAACAGATTCATTTTCAGAATTTGCTTCCTATCTCTGGCATTTGTTTTGTAAATTCGTTGGTCAGGGTGGATTAGAAAAGTATATCAAAACCATAATGAAACTCATTCACATGGGGGGCTGGGATCTGGGGGCTTCCTTTGTTAAAGGGGTCTTCCAGATTCCAATAAGTCACCTGCCCACCCACAACCACCGGGCCAGGATTGTGGGGAAGAGGCCCTTTTCCTCATCAACATAGCCCCCCCCCATGTTAAGGGCAAGTGGCTTGGTATGGTTCAGGGGGGTTCTTGCTTGTTATCCCCTCCCTTTCCTGGCCTCCTGAGTTGCATGCTCTGATAAGGGTCTGATATAGCTTGGGGGG